AGACAGAGACAGTCAGAGATATTCAGAGACAGTCAGAGACAGACAGAGACAGTCAGGGACATAAAGAGACAGACAGTCACTTGGAGAAATGAAATCCCGTCAAATCAAACTGAAGAAAGAAGTTAAACCAAATGTCTTTGATTGTATAGATCTTGAATTCTCTTGTTGCTCCATGAGTCTGTGTTGAATCAGATCTCGTGTCCTCGTCCTGTAAAATTCTCTGGACAACCTAAGTTCAGTTCTGGATAGACAGAGACAGTCAGAGACAGACAGAGACAGACAGAGACAGACAGAGATAGACAGATCTCTGGGTCGTAAGCAGCTTATTTTGTCCACGACTGTTTTTTCACAACACGTGTTGAGCAGTTCTGAGTCTCCAGGTGGATTTCCACAGTGTGAGACACCAAGTGTCCCGACAGGCTCTCAGTAAACAGCTGTAACACACAGATAGTGTTTTTGTCCCGTGACAGACTGATTAGATTTTATGACACGTTTCCTCCCAGTCAGGTGATGCGAGCGGAGCAGCGTTAGCAGGAAGTCACAGACATGGAGGACGACAGCCGGCCGCTTCTGAGCTCAGGTCAAACAGGAGAGAGCTACTCACACAGAGGCTCCACAGACTCTCTGGACCTCAAGGCCAAAAGGTAAACGAGCTGCAGCGACTGACACAGACGTTATCACAGACGTTATCACCGACGTTATCACCGACGTTATCACCGACGTTATCACAGACGTTATCACAGACGTTATCACAGACGTTATCACAGACGTTATCACAGACGTTATCACAGACGTTATCACAGACGTTATCACAGACGTTATCACAGACGTTATCACAGACGTTATCACCGTCTCACACTTCATCAGGACGTCTGGATGTTGATGAACTCCACAAATAACAGCTTCTCTCTGATTGGTTGTAGTGACGACCTCAATCTGAGCAGCTCACTGTGTGTGTGTGTGTGTGTGTGTGTGTGTGTGTGTGTGTGTGTGTGTTGGGGGGGGTCTTGGGTCAGAGGTCAAAGTTCAGCTGAGGTCACCTGGTCCACGACTCGTTCTCTTTTTCTAACTCTGGATAATAAACAAAGAGGACTTCCTGGAACTCGCTTGAGAAGCAAACACTAACGTGTGTGTGTGTGTGTGTGTGTGTGTGTGTGTGTGTGTCACATAACTGGATTAGCGATGTGTGACTTTTCATCCAGTTTGGTATTTCACAGTGAGCGACGAGCTTTCGAGTAAGTCACACACACGTGTGTGAACTCGTTTCATCGGCGTCATGTCAGTGGTTCCAAACGTGTTTATCAAAGTGAGGGATGAATCCAACGGTAAATGAAATGTATGAATTTAGAAATATCGATGGAAGTGATGTGTGGTTCTTCTTCTAGGCCGTTCCACGTGGAGCCCCGGAACATCGTGGACGATGACCCTCAGGAGAGAGTCTCGGCTGAAGCGGCCATCCTCAACAGCAGAGTTCATTATTACGGCCGACTGACGGGCTCGTCTGACAGGCTGCTGGTACGTCACTGAGCCGTCAGTCATTACGGACTCTAGGAGCACAGACTCAGAACCTACACCCACAACATGTATGACTCTGTGTGTTCATCATGTTGGGCCACTTTGTTGCAGTAATTCTTGTATTTCAGTTTTTTCACACGTGTGATCGTTCCGTCACGGCTCTCGTCCGTCGACTCCACTTTGATCTCAATAGATCGTATCTCATCTTTGTGAAATGTGTCACATTAAATATCGTACAACTACGAAGTGAACACGCACCATCAGCCGCGACTGAGGACAGTAAATAAAGATGGACGACGCCTCCAACCATTCAGAAATGAAGACAAAATATCCAGACCACTGACGGAGCCATCTCATAGATGACGATCACACGAGCACGTTTACAGAAAACACAAACGCAAAAGTCCCACAATGGAAACACGAGGACAAAGGAAGTGAGCGACTCCGGCTGTTGACGATGAAACGACCACGACTGTGGTCGAGTGAGAAGTTTGTGAAAACTTTGTCAGTTCAGTCACAACTTCAAACGTGACGCTTGTTTGAGTTGTTACGATCGAGAAGTTTAGAGTCTGTGAAAAACTTCCTACCAGTTAGATCTGTTGTCTGTCATGTGACTGTAGCTGTGAGGACTTCCTGTTAAGTTTCCATCTTCTCCTGCAGAGTCCTCCAAACCATGTGATCCCCCGACCTGAGGAGATCTACGTCTACAGCCCCCTGGGGACGGCGTTCAAGGTGACGTCCAGCGACTACTCGTCTAAAAACCCGAGCATCATCACCATGTGAGTCCAGCGTCACTCTGAAGTCAGTGAGTCGGACTGCTTTGATCTTCACCTTGAATTTGTCTGTGCGCAGTTTTGCGATATGGAACACGATGATGGGAACATCTATCCTCAGCATTCCTTGGGGCATAAAACAGGTGATGTGCTTTATTCTAAATGATTCACGTCCTTTTTCCAAAGATGCGGATTTGCTCTTTAAATTTGCTTCATCGACTAAAACTGAAACCTGAACATCCTGGTCCCTCAGGCCGGCTTCACGCTCGGGATCCTCATCCTCATCTTTTTAGGTTTGCTGATGCTCTACTGTTGTTACATCGTCCTCAAGTCACCAAAGTCAATACGTAAGTTCAGCTGCACGTTGACAAAGTAATGCACTGGAATGATCTTTTCAGATGACGTCCCCTTTGAATAAACAGCTTGTTGCTGCAAATATGAAAGAATTCAGTTGAATTTTATAAATATTAAGTTTGTCTCTTCTTCATTTTCCTCTTTTCAAGATTTATCATTATTTTTAGAAAACTCCTGGTGATCAGCAGGATAATCGTGCTGCTGATTTTATACATTTACATTTTGAACGTGTAACAAACTTTCTATATTTAATGTCTCATAAATGAGGTAATAACCTCGTTTATGAGACATTATCCCGCCTCCAGCCATTAGGAGGCAGCAGTGGGTCACACCACAGCCTGAAGTCACTGGATGAAATGATGAAGAGTTCCATTCATAACTTTGACTGTTTCACGGAGAATCCCATGTTCGCTGTTCTGTTCTCCTCAGCCTACATAGACACGTCCGACTGGGAATTCCCTGACGTCTGTCATTACTACTTTGGAAAGTTTGGACAATGGTCCAGCCTGGTCTTCTCCATGGTGTCACTCATCGGAGCCATGGTGGTTTACTGGGTCCTCATGTCCAACTTCCTGTACAACACGGGACAGTTTATCTACAGTAGGTCAAACAAATAGCTTCTGTCTGTGCGATGTGTTCTACACAAGTACAAGTATCTGTACACAAGTACAAGTATCTGTACACAAGTACAAGTATCTGCACACAAGTACAAGTATCGGTACTTGTGTTGACGAATCTGTGGATTTGTTTACGTCGTGGGTCTGAAATGTGTTTAGTAACATTTTAATTATGCAAACATTTCATTTGACTGAGTTTTGTTTTTGATGCTCATGTTCAGATACTAGATAGTTCACGCTTTGATAAAGTTTTGGATCTGTCCACAGATTCCGCTCACAACGTCAACACGTCAGACTCCGAGTTTGGAACCAACGGCTCGGAGAGAGGTGAGAAACGTCCGGCTCTAACTCTGTTGCAGTCGTGAACGTGTTATGTGGAGAACGCCTCGAGAGAATCCCCTCAGATGTTCATTCAGACTCAGAGATGAACTGATTGTGTTTGGGTGGTCAGAGGTCAAAGGTCACAATGACACTGAGCTCACAAAACACGACTTGGCTTCTCGAACATGATATCTCAAGTCTGACTTTAGATTTCAGAGGTCAAAGGTCACAGTGACCTTCTATGAATATAGACTCAAACTGGTTGGTGGAGACAAACAACCGCGAGCTTTTAATCGTATGTAGGTAAACATGTTTGTTTTCTGAATCTTAACCAGGTGAAGAAATACTTGATCCGATGGTAACGGTCTGTGGATTTGTTCACTAGTGATCTGTCCGTTCCCAAACACCGACCCGGGGGGGAACGACAGCCTCGGCTCGCTTCACCTCAGCGTCAGTGGAAATGACACGTCTGACGTCTTTGGACACTGGTGGAGCAAAACCAACACCGTCCCCCTCTACCTCATCATCCTGCTGCTGCCGCTGCTCTGCTTCCGCTCAGCCTCCTTCTTCGCAAGGTTCACCTTCCTGGGTAAGAGTGCGGCCGTCTCTCTCACACTGGGACGACTGTCGGGTCGTCAGGCGTGATCGTGGTTCATGTGAACAAAAAGCTTTGGACTCATGACTACGACTGATGTGATTTCATATTATACAAATAAGAAATGGTCAAATTAGCTTAATAGCAAAAGCAAAAGTAAAAATAAAAATAAAAATAAAAGCCTTTACAATAAATACAGTACATACAATTTTATTTAAAGCAAATGAATGAATCACAACGAATATAATGAAATGAAATAATATGTAGCACGGGGCTATACAGCAGCAGCTCCTCTGGTTCAGGAAGCAGAGGATCATGGGTAATATCCAGTGGGACGACGCCGTCAGAGCTCGACACGTCGCTTCACAGAGACTGACTGAGGTCATCATGTGTGGCTGCAGGGGGCGCTGTGCAGCAGAAGCTTTAATAAATGATTTCTAATTTCCCATCATGATGTTCTGTCCAGGAACCATTTCTGTCGTCTACCTGATCGTGTTGGTCACCGTCAAAACGTCCCGGCTCGGCTTCCACCTGAAGTTCCACTGGTTCGATACCAGCGAGTTCTATGTTCCAGGTAAACCTGCAGGTCCTTGTGTGTGTGTACTGTGTGTGTACTGTGTGTATACTGTGTGTGTATACTGTGTGTATATACTGTGTGTATATATACTGTGTGTGTGTATATACTGTGTGTATATACTGTGTGTGTATACTGTGTGTATATACTGTGTGTGT